AACATTGAGAGCCTTCTAGCAGAGGTGGACAGAAGAAAGGCTTCCCTACAGAACAATGTCAAGATGTCATCCCATGTAGAATCAACATAGGGTTTGTGGGGCTTTGGAACATAGGCAATACTAGATTTGAATACCACGGTTGGAGAGGGGGCCGAACAGGGGGTGCACCATGCGAAACTCTACAAAGTATGAAACAAACAAAAAAAAAAAAGCAGAGCAGACGGACCTTTGCCAAGAGCTAAATTCTAGCGCCAAATGAAAGAACACGGACTAGCAAAAAGGCACATGAGGAAATTCAAAGACTCACACCAGTGAAAACAAGTCTCACATGCGATGATAAAATTTGTGAGAAGTAAATTTACAAGCCCTAAATCATGGCTGAGACAACTGAGTGCACATTGCCCGTCTCTCAGAAGCTGGGGTTCAACAACAAGCCAGCAGCAGGATGGTAGATCAGTCCATTTAATAACAGATCTGTCTGACTTGGTGGAGGCCACAAAGCATCAGCTAATAGACAAGCAAAATGTTCAAACCACAATCTGGAGCTAGGAGAATGAAGGATTAAAAGGGATAGCTTTCCAGTCAAAGTAGAGATGGTAACAGCAGAGGAAAGGCATATAACACTCCCAAGACATTACCAGGGTGTCCGCTGCATTCACCATTGAGCTCTGTGCCCTGACAAACCAACCTGTCCAGCTTCTTCTTGAAACAAGATGCTAACAAACCTACTGTCGGCATCCCCCAACGCCTCCTATTAAAGACTATAACCCAGCAAAAATGTCTGCTAAGAAAATCTGTCTACCAGATTTCCACTCTGGGAATGTACACTGGATATTACTGAAACTCCACCCAGGACAGATTCTGCTTCTGTCGCCAACACATCCTCACCCCCAATGATTGGGGTAGCTGTGGCATGGATTGGACCCAGACCAGATGTGGTAGTGTCATTAATCTGTGTGATGCTGCAGGAAAGACTGACCCCACACCATAAGAGGTGTGGGGTCAACAAATTAATAACCGAGAAATTGCCCAACTCCTGGATGTTGTTTGAATTCTTTCAAACTGACTAGAACTCAATCACAACACAGGTGGTTACATCCATCCTGCCAAATGTCCAGCGTGAAAGGAAGATTCATCTTGTCCAGAGAAAGACTGGATTTGGCCCACGCTGTGGCAATGTTTCTTTGTAAAGGTCAGTAGTGTAATTAAAAAAACAGAACTGCAAGTCCCAGAACTCACATGGAAGGCTCCAGCATCCACAACACATTTTGTTTTCAAAGATTAAGGAAGTCTGCTCTCGCAACAATAGAGTATCCAAATATGTGATGGAATACATCAGAGATGAAGATCCAGAACCGGTAAATCCTTGACACTCAGAGCCGAGGCAAAGTCCACAGAAAAGGCTGGAAAATAAATGGTGGCAAGTAACCGAATAATAGACTGATCTGAAAGGCAAGAAATCTCCCCAATAAACAGGGTCAAGTGAACAAGTAGATTTAATCCAAAGCCCTACAGATTGTTAGAAAGGTGTAGATGTTTCAAGTCCAGAATGACTTGAAAGCTTGCTTCAGAACTGTAAACACATTTGAATAAAACACTGCAAACCTAAAAAGTGCCCCCCACCCACAACACTGCAAATCTTTTATGAAAATAAACCCAAAAGTGATAACCCTCTGGAACAGGAGGGCTAACCAACATTTCTGAAACTCAGGTAGATGCAAAGTGAAAAAACAAGTCACTGCAAAAGCCTTGAGACTACACCCCACCTGTAAAAGGAAAAGGTAAGGTTGGATCCACATGTGGGGGTGCATTTATCTATAGGCTTGAATCTGTTGAACTTTGCTGGAAGAAATTCTTAAGAGTCTCCTACAAAACACCAGCAAAAGGTGTTCTTACAGTTACACCACCGGCCAGCTCATAAGTCAGAACACTTTGCAGATCTGAACAGAAAAAGGTTTCCAAACACATAACAGCTACAGCCCAGTGCTGCATTGCAGAGAAGGTTTAATGACAGTCATCTGGTCAACACAGTTGATAAGACGGCCCCTTGGATGAATGTTGAATCAATTAGAATCTAGCCTAGATAAATACCATGTTAGACGGAAGACCATTTCATACTAGTAACATTGTTCAGCAAATGGAGTCGGTGGCAGACGATACAGATGACAGTAGTAAAGAGTGCAGAAGGCACAATGTTTACCACACGAAGCTTAGTATAGCACAATGGGTAAATTAGGTCCCCGATTGGCACTACACAGTAGGCCTATTGCTGCCAGTGTCCTACAGAAATGCAAAACTAAAAATGCCAAGCCCCCTTTCAAGAATGTTGATTTCAGTACTGGCTGCAGCGACAACAGTGGGCACTGGCCTAAAATAGTGGCAGCATTAACTGGCTAGTAGTAGAGCTGTTAGAAACCAATCGTATTTATCAATCTTTTGCAGAACAAACTTTTTAGGCCTCATGTACATGGGCCACCAGTGTTAAAACACAAGAACTTATCTAGGGAGTATAAACAACTGTTCTGCTTCCCAGATCACTTTCCAATGTTAGCGGTTACTGGGCTGTCACATTTAGAAGCCTTTACATGCCTTCAGCTGCATAAAACCTGGCTCAATGGTCCCAGGATACAGAAAATACTTGTTTGTAAGCAGAGACTAGACAATGCACCTAGATGCTGCTAAACGTCTAGGTGTGCATTCAGCCATAGCAAAGCAGAGCATGCTCCAAAGGCATCTGGACTCATGTATTTTCATGGCCGTGTTCATAAGGCCTTACATATCGAAGAGTCCGTTGTACAATCCCAAGCGTACTACCCAGTATAAGAACAGCAAGAAACACAGCAAAAGCTATATTCACTTCCATTATTTCTCCTGTAGCCAGGTCTAAGGAGAGGTTTAAAAAGAACAGTCAGGGAAGAAACCGTGGCTAGTCTTAAAGTAGAGACCATAGCCAACTGCACACACTGTCAACATACAATCTTTTGAGCTAGGATGTCACTGTCATCTGCAGGACAGTCACAGAACGACTTCCAGTATATTAACCGGTGAATGTTGTGCTTGATGGGATGACTGGAGACTTCCAGGATGTCACACATGTAGTGTGAATTTACCAGCAGCTGAAGGTAGAAAATTCTAAAATGAAGAGACTAGTAGAGCTGAAGAAGACACATCCACTTTCCTGAGGACACTGAGCAAGTGTGAGGGGTTGTATCCTTTAGGGTTGCACTGGCTGTTCCTAACAGAAGGCAATTTGCCTCGTCACAGAATAGCACCAGTCACACCACCACATTGCAGTGGGAACACAGTGGTGAGCAAATTCATGCCTTACCTTTTTTTCAGCACAGCAGGACGTGACATGGAACAACTGTCTCGCATCCCACTGTGCCCGTAGAACTGGATGACATTTCACTTGTGCCCTTTCAATAAAAGGATATAAAAAAAGGGTGATTACCGTTTTGCACAGCAGTTGGTATGAATGGCCTTCAGTTGTGTGCCTAGTGTCCATTTCCTCTGTAGACAAGTATGGGGTTATACTGCTATCAGTTGGACAATAGAGAAATGTCAGCAGCTAAGCAGCTAGCATTTTAAAGAGGCATGATGACCCTCTCCTTACATGGTAGGACAGATGTGTCAGGGGAGAGAAAAACCACCAAGGATTAAAGCCCTAATGAATGCACACTTTAATAGCTACATTGAGATACCTCTGTCTGTCATGATCTTTGCTTGAAAATACTCAAGTGGCCATACACTGCCAATTTCTTTAGACATCCTTCTAAGGCCAATGCTTATGTATTCCGACAGGAGCCGCCGCAGGCATCCCTGGATCAGCTGGTCGAAGGAACCAATCAGAAAAAGTCTTCATACAACAGCTGGCAGCTCATTGGCTTCTGGCTCTGTTCATACAAGGACTTTCCAACCGCCTCCTATCAGCTGATAGAGGGATGCTGCGTAGCAGCTGTCCGAACACAAGGGGTGGGGGGGGGGGGGCCCCCTGTTGGTAGAGCAGCACATCTCGGTAACAAAACCCTCACACAGCCTTTTACTGCAAGGCATGGGGCAGTGTGTCAGCCGAGAGAGAGAATAGTGGATCAAAGGGCTTGTTCACACCAATTGGTGTGTTCCAGAGCGGTAGATGCCGTAACGTACCACAATCGCTCACAAAACTTCCTCTGTGGTGTATTGAAGTCAATGGCACCGCAGGCACGCCCGCAGTGCGATCGGACACGTGGCAAATCATTGTCTGTGTTCTGTTCCACTGCAAACAATGCCGCTTGCTCCATTTTTGAAACGCAGGCAATGGTTTGCCACGTGTCCAATCGCACAGCGGGCGGAGGGGCGTGGCTGCGCTGCCATTGACTTCAATGCACCGCCATGCCCCCTCCTAGAACGCAGGGGGAAGTTTCGTGAGCAATTCTGTTCCAGCAGCTCCCGCTCTGGAACGCACTGCAATTAGTGTGAACAAGCACCAACTCTGGTGCCAATTAGACTGTACAAATCAGACTCTGCACAACTACTGCTGTAACTGGAGAACTGAGGTCAAGTCTTCTGGCTGCATATGTATTCTGTGACTTCGTCACATTTTTATATGAATTTTTGCAACTTCAGTGTTTAAGGGCTGGTTCACACTGCATTGTGCTGACTATCAAGTGCAACAAAATGCATAGTTTACTCACACTATACTCTCAACCAGTCCTAATGCATTTTTTTGCCTTTTATTTTGTTAGTCCTTCAAAAATGCCCCCCAATATGGATATGTCAAGGCAAGTTTGCTTTGGAACCCACCAGCAGATCACAGAATGGATAGCATAATGTACAGGAGAACAGCAGCATATATTTCATACAACAGTGGAGAAATGATAGTCTTGCTCAAACTACACATCTGAATTTAAAAATAACTTTACTTTGTTCATTCCATTTACAAACATTTAGGTTGGTTCCTTAAGACCACAGAAACCCATTCCACATGGACTTGCTTAAAATAACTTGACACAGCAGAATGCTTAAAAGTCCACTTTAATTCTTCTGAGCCATTTTCATGATTTTCATTAAGCATCTGTGGCCTCAGAGTACATAACTTTGGGATAAAAGGCAACTGGTAAACTGTCCATTACAGGTTCCAAATAAGTTCTTACTGGCCCCTACCCAGACATATCCCAGATAAAAGCTTTGATCAAAAATCGATCCATCTGCTTATTAAGCATAATAAAAGAAAACTTTTTGGACCATTTCTATTAGTCTATGTTTTTATACAAAAAGGCTACACAATGTTCCACTTTATTCAGGATACAATTAGAGTGATTATGAATTAGTGTTCTACACTTACTTGATCCTTAAAAATTAGAAACCGCTTTAGCAATAAGCACTAACTGAACACTACAGAGACTTAAGATGTTACCGCAGAAAGGAAAATAAATCTAAAATACTAAGAAAAGCAAGCTAGGTCAGTACCATTACAGAGATAAAAAAAATTAAAAATAAAAAAAAAGTTATTTAAAACAAGCAAGGCTAGTGTTTTGATAAGTTCCAGCTTGCAAACTATTCTTGTGCATTCTTGATGTACGAGTCACTTCCAAAATCCAATGGTATTGTTCCTCCGACCAAAAAAAGGACCAGAACATAAAGTTAGCTTCCATTGTTCCCATAGGAAACTCAGCTTGGTTAGTGTGTCAGGCACTTTCTGGAGATAACCAGCCCACCCCATGAGCCATCTCAGCAACTCTACAGGCCAATCACAATGCAAATTCATTCTGACGATAACTGCAAGAGAAAAGAACATAATAAAACTTCCTCATTTTATAAAGTCCTTACAAAAGGTTTGCAATCACAAGTAATTTCTGTGAATTTCATAGGAGCGTAGCTCGAACAGCAAACTGTGGCACTAAGTATAGTTGCTATGGTGACTTGGTTGACCATTTTTAAAAATGGACAGAGCACCTCTTCAAACACTGGCATCTGGAGAGGATATAAAACCCTGTACTACATATAAAGCCTACCCCTAGACAGAAAAGATTAACATTCTGTGGTAAGGTTTAGAAACCTGCACAAAGCTTAACACACCCTGAGTGGCCAGTTTTACTACTATGCAGCAAGAAAAGCCTGCATGTGTGAGTTACAAAACTTGCTGCTGCCATTTACATAATATACACAAACCATTTTATTGAATACCACTATAATGTTATATACAGTCAGTCACATGAATCACAAAACCGTTTCTCTTTAATAAGTAACGGCTTTACAGACTGAAGAGAAATGTAATGGAGTGATGCAGCCAAATTTCTCCAACTTCCTTGTATATTTTAGATCCTCCACGAGCATTCATTTTGCTATGCACTGACTCCACTCACAAAATACTGAACCGAAAAAGTTGTACCACAAAGACAGCATTTTACTAACATCACAGGGGAGCCATTATATAGTTTACACCTTCATTAGATGGCACATGTTATAGCACCAGGATCACACTATATTAAAACATTTATTCTTATTAATATACACTTTATTAACTGCAATACTCACCGAAAATATATATATTTACAAGTCCGTGTCAAACCAGGCCAACTGATTACTGTCGCCTGGTGGCAGTCCGTCCATAAGATCCTGAGCGTGGCCTAAGTCTGGTAGACCGTCAACTGGGTACTCTGCTCCTGGATGATGACCTCCCATGTCATGATCCATCATTGGGTCCATTCCCATTGCATCTTGCCCATATCCTCCAGCATGAAAAGATCTGTAGCTGGGATCTGAAACGTTAAAAAATATATTTAAGAAAATCTAATCACTGAAGGCACTAGGATACTTTCCAATAACCAAGCAAAAATGAAGATTCCTTTCCTTAAGCACACCAGATTCACCCCTGCACAGGAATTACATCACTATTACAATGCAGATCTAGATGATCAAAGCAATAACGCTGCGCTGCAACACCCTTAAAAATGCAAATTGTCTACCGGATGCTCATCCAGCTTTTACTGCCTTGTTGCCTATCCAGAGCAAACATGTGTTTGGAACTTATGACCTGCACACGTGTTGACTTTCAAAAAAAGGTCTTTGGCCAGTGAGCCAACCAAGAGCAATGTTTAGGTGGTGGGTCACAGACCCATGAAAGCTAGGCAAAACCTGAGCACTTAAAAAAGCACCCATGGACTGTATTTCCAGAACGGAGAACAGGCCTGACATTCAGGCACCAAAAAGCATCAGATATGTGCTGCCAGCAGTGGAGGATTTCCCTTAGGCCTTGTTCACACCAAGAGCGGAGCAGGTGCAGACCGGATCAAAACTGCGTCCAATGTATTCCAATGGTATTTTTTGCTCCAGTTCTCATCGCAGCGTGCAGTTCCAGAGAAGGTGAAATAACTGCAGCAAGCCCTATTTTACCAGCTCTGGAACGCATGCAAACGCCCGGAACGCACTGAAAGCCCATGTTAAACTAAAAAAACGGAACGCATCAAAAAAAGCGGGAACAACCCACTGCACGTGCAGAAACCTGAGCGGATCTGCTCTGCATTTGGCATGAACAAGGCCTTAAAGTTTGTTTTACCATCCATCTAGATAGAGATATATACACATACACATATATATATAGCCAGCAAAACAAAACTCACCATCTTGTCTGTAGCCAAGAGTCTCTCCCGGAGCACAAATATCAACACCAAGATCTCCAGTCTGGGAAGGGAGAACAAACAAGTTTAGTAATTAATACTTCAAGATTAGATTAACGCATAGGCAAAAGAATAGGCGCAAACCTCATTCCAAGGCATGGGCTCAGTCCTGAACAGAGAGCTGGTCAGTTCAACAGACAACCGCTTCTTGTAATCTTGAGGCTTGTCTTCAGACATACGGAACAGCACAGCTGCTGCATATGTTGCTGTAAAAAAGTAATACGGGTAACATTAGAAGAAAAAAAAAAAAAAGCATGTTTTAATTTGTACAGTTGGTCTTGAGAGGTTAGAACAGTGGTGAATGAATCCAATAAGGACCAAATCATCTGCAGCTGCGACAATTTAAAGAACGGCTATAATTTGCTGCCCCTTTATGGCCAGTCATGCGATTCAGTTGCATTCTAATGGTTTAAAAGCCAACATCCCGAGTAGACCATGTGGACGCTATTAAACAGACAGCAGAAATACACTTTTGGGGTAGCGTGTCAGTTTCTGTACCACGCAATATTGATATCACAGATCAGCTCAAGACCAGAATAGTTCATCCTAAAAAGACCCTCTTACCGACGCCTTCATTTCGTGAATGAAGCAGCTCTGTAAGTGGTGCTGTAGCTCCTTCAGCTTCAATAGCTTCTGCAGCCTCCTTGTCTTGGGCCAGTTCACAAAGCACACCAGCTGCAACTCTCTGGATGTTTTCAATAGGAGAGTACAAAAGCTAGAAGGGAGAGAATAAAACACCTTTAGGTCTTTCAAAGTTTTTAAGCTACATCAAAAGTCACAGTTGAGGCGTACACTTACCTGTACAAACAATGGAATGGTATTCAGGCCTCTGATCACAATTCTGTTGTGTACATCACGTGCAAGAATGTGTAGGGCTCCTGTGCAACCTTCAACGATTTCTTCCATACGCACACCTTCCTGTAAAACCAGACCACCAAGTAAAAGCCTGCTTCCTAATGCACAGGATGACTATACACATACATCCCATTGCAAGCTACAACAGAGTTTACTGTACTGGAGAAGGCAAGTTTTTTTTACACAGTAGTGAATCTTTCCCTTAAAATTACTTTTAGGCCTGTGTATTGTCACAGCTGTCAAAATGCTTAACAAAACCATGCGTTGTAATTTTCATGTACATCAACGCACCATGTTCTGCTCACAAAAAAAAGACTTGAAGGCGCATACACACGCACAATAGTTCAAAAACCGCCCTTAGTGTGAATTGAGCCTTATCCTGTACTATAAACACTGCATCCGTTCACTTCCACAACTACACCAAAAAGCCATCACGCATGTTGATCATAAACGGGGTTACTGTGTCTTTCCAGCAGCTTTTTACCACAACAATTGTACAGATAGATTTGTTACTCCCCCAATGAGGGACCAATTAAGATTGGAGTGAAAATCCAAATCCAAAATAGCTTCAACTGGCAGTGAAACAATTAAGATTGATTTTTTTTTTTTTCCCCCCCGGGTAATTTCAATCTAAAGTGCTGCATTACCAATTGAAAGCAATTTCTGATCCGATTCCAAGTGAAGTTCAGCTGACTGTTTACTAGAAACAAATGAAAGCACAAGTGGACAGGACCTGGACTAAGGTGAAGGAAAGCAACAAAAAACTGTTCATTGAACTGCCTACAGAACAAATACTACAGGTTAAAGCTTACATAACATAGAAAGTACAATTTCTATAATGGGTTGGGGGGGGGCGCAACGCACAACTTGTAGTCTTTCATCAGTGATGGGTAGCAGGTTTTCAGATTCATTTTAAGTATAAATAGCATTTATCGCTATCAGGATTTAGACAGGTAACCAGGATAGCTATCGCACAGGCAGTTTACCCTATTTTGTTAGGGACAGATTACCCACTATGCAAACTAGTATGACTCCCTTTAAGGCCAATATGCTATAATGGAACCTAATGGAAGGGGGTTTAGTCCTCCCGGTCCCGGCCCGCACTGGGCACTGAAGGGGGAAAGGAAGCCAGCCTCATCTCCTGCAGCGCTAGGAGAATCCCTGGGGCTCACACAAGGTAGGCAAACCTACACCCTCTGCCTTACACAGGCAGCCATAAACAAAAGACTTCCCGGGCAGCATCACCACATGGAAGCCCCTCTCAGCGTTCTGTGACGCGCTCCCCAGCTTGACTGAGGAAACACAAAAGGAGGGAGTGGAGGAGAGGAGGGTCTTTTAAGCAAATTAAGTGATGTGTTTCCTGTGTGTGGGGGAGGAGATTCCATCTTGTGATGCTGTCCTGGAAGACGTTATGGGAAATTTACTATACAAAGCACAAAATACATACCACAAATTGTTGCTGTGTTCCACCCATGGATGTGCGGCGCTGTGTGTCTTGGTGTGCACGAACCAACAATTGGACCAGTCTTGGAATTGCACCTTGTTCACGTAAAGGTGCATGATTAGCTGGGCAAAGAGCCAGATTACGAATTAACCCCACAGTGGCCTGAGAAAAAAAACCCACCATTTTGTTACCTTTTTATGTGGCACCTTAGACATACATTTATCAAGTCTTCATTAGAAAAGTTAGGCCCTGACTTTCCAACACGATTTGCTAACACTTTGTAGCTTTACCTTGATTAACGGCCAGTGAGAAGGCGGATGTAATAGCTTTACAACAACTGGAAGTCCATAGTGGAGGCGAACAGCATTTTGTGCCATCTCAGCTTCTTGGTGCCGGCTAGTAAGATGACGGAGAGCACAGATAGCAGGTTCAGTAATGTCTTCTCTATCTCCTGCACGAAGAACTGTGCGGACCAGCGCTTCAATACCACCAACTTGGCAGACCATCATTTTGTTTTTGTAATTGTTACATGTGAGATTGGACAGAATACCAGCTGCACAAGTTACAACATTGATATCATCTGATCCAAGAAGTTGAACAAGGGTTCCTAGAAGACCTTCCATTCCCTCCTGGAAAATAAGAGTGTGTCAGCATTACTGGAAAAAAAAATCCCCCCAGAAAAAAAAAGTGTGTTTACATTTAAAAAAAAAAAAAAAAAAAAAAAAAAAAAAAAAAAGCTTGTCCCAAATGAGAAAAAAAATGAAATGTAAACTTACATATACCTGCTTAGTTGCAGCATCGGAAAGATTTCTTAAAGTCCATAGGCAGTTCTGCACCAGACGTTGGCTTGGGTCTGTGAGGTGCAAGCCCAAAGCTTGCATGCCACCTAAAAAGGAGAAAAAAAATGCAATGATTAAGCCATGCATTACATATTAAACTTCAAAAAGATTTTACGGGCACATGTTAAAGGGTTCATTCACATTCCATCACATTTAACCCCAAGTGCTTCTAAGCTACTGGAGTTTTTTTTTTTAACCAAGGAGCCATTTTGGCACGCTACCTTTAGGCCTTGTTCACACCAAGCGCATTCCAGGAGCAGAGCAGTTACAGGCCGGGTGCAAAACCACGTCCAATGTATTCCAATTGTATTTTTTAGCTCCAGTTCACATCGTAGCGTTCCAGAGCAGGTAAAAAAACTGCAGCAGGCCTTATTTTACCTGCTCTGGAACGCACTGAAAGCACATTTTAAAACGAAAAAAAAAATTTTTTTTTTTACCCGGATGGCCCGGAATGCATCAAAAACGCAGCAAAACCTACTGCACTGCGTGTGCAGAAACTCATGCAGACCTGCTCTGCATTTGGTGTGAACAAGGCCTCAGGTGCAGTGACCCTTCACTAGCCTTAAAATGAACTTCAAGAGGTTATCTAGCTTTGCATGGTAATCGCGAATTGTAGTTTCTTCTTTCGACACCATGAGATTACCAGAAGTTGGATATTTGCTAGTAGTTACAGGACTTAATTATGGGGTGTGAAGTTTATAAAGATACCCAGACTACCCTAAGGATGTGTGGTGTCCAATAATGAAGTTATGCCATTAAAATGTGTTATACACAAAATTAGAAAAGGTACTTTCCACACAAATAAAAAAAATTGAGAAAACCAAATCATTTTAGATTTAAATACACCTAAAAACACTCACCTGCTTCAACAATAGCAGGCTTATTGCTGGAGCATACAGAAAGAACCTTCAGTACACGGCTCGTGGTCCACAGAAGTTTCTCATAACTGTAAGTGCGCATTATTGTCACCAAGGCTTGAGGTCCTCCGCTTGCGAGGATAATCAACTACAGGGGGGGGGGGGAAACAAAAACAAAACGTTTCATAGCATTCATTAACAGTTTTAAACTAGTGCTTGCAAATATATTAGACATGACCATACATCAATAGAATGGTCATGAAGACAAACCATTTGATCTCCAGCTCCAATTCTAGTGGTTATAAAACAGCTTTACTCATATTTGCTAAAGTAAAAGCAGATAGTAGTCAATTAGAAACATTATTTTATGAATGCAAGCAAGCAAAAACACCACAACCACACAGGTTGGGACAACATTGCCAGATTATTTTTTTTTTGTTTGTGCAACATAACTGCTTAAGCAGACCTGGCAGCAGCATAAAACGTTTGCCTCAATCTTGGTCACTTTTGCTGGACAGGTCAGGTTTGCATGTAATTTGAGAAAATAAAGGTAATTGGAGACAGAATAATCATTAGAAGTATTAAAGCACATACAGTCACCTCTACATCTGTCACTAAAAAGATTACAAACCGAGCAGTTGGAGGAGAACTATGGGGTTAAGGCTTTTCCCCATAGTTCTAGTTAACATCCTCCAGTCACCCTAAGCTCAGTATACCGCGAGCTACAGCTCGAGGTATACTGAGATGCCACAGACAATTATGCCGGGATCCGCCAAGCTGCACGAGTCTGTCCGTTCCGCCAGTCAGCGCCGGCAGATCGGAGCGGGGAGGGGGGAATCCAGCCCCCCCGTCACAGCAGAGAGCTGTGACAGGATCAAGAGGTGAGCGAACGCCGGTATGTGTTCGCTCACCTCCCGATCTATTGAGCCGACATGTGACAGGTCGGCTAGAACTATGAGGTGAGTGAAAAGCACTCACCTCATAGTTCTTTAAAGCAAAGGTTTATATCTGCCGAATTAAGTCCGCCCCGTCAAGCTAAAAGTGTGCAGCATTAACCACACTTTACAAAACATTTTTAAATCGTTACATCTACTGCTACTCTTCCCAATTCCTAAAAGCATTTAAAATTTACACATACCTTGCTTTCTTGATTTCCATAAGCCAATATCTGAAGACAGTCTGTGGTAATGGCTAGAAATTTGACATTTGTTTTGTTCAGCAAGGCAACCATTTTCTGCAGACCACCAGCCAAGCGGACAGCCATTTTTGCCCCTTCTTGATGCAACAGCAGATTGTGCAGTGTTGTGATAGCATAGAACAGCACAGAGTCCACTGGTGACCTGTAAAGTATGCATAGCTTTAGAATAACCAGGTTCGCCGTCACTGCTACAAGGAATTTTACACACACACACTAGGTTGGACATGTGTCTTTATTCAACCTCAAATACTATGTACAGTAATACCTTGGTTTACGAGCATAATTCGTTCCGGAAGCATGCTTGTAATCCAAAGCGCTTGTATATCAAAGCGAATTTCCCCATAGGAAATAATGGAAATTCAGATGATTCGTTCCACAACCCAAAAATATTCATATAAAAATGATTACAATACTGTACAAAATATACAGCAAAATAAACCAATTACCGGTACCTCCGTGGCTGGGGTGAGGGGGACGAGAGAGGAGGATTATAGTCTAGGACGACTTTCACTATCACTAACGGAATCACTGCTATCTCTTGACTCAATGGAATCTTTTTCATTTCGTGAAACCTTAACAAGGAATCTATCCAATGTGACATTGCATTGTCGTTAAACAGACTCATCGCTCGCACTGCTACAGCCTTATTCGGTGGCGCTTTTCTGCAGAATTTTGCTCTTATTGCAAGACATTGCTTGTATATCAAGGCAAACTTTTTCAGAAATGTTTGCTTGTCTTGCAAAACACTCTTAAACCAAGTTACTTGTAAACCAAGGTATTACTGTAATGTACAACTGCCTTATGAAACTACAAGGCTCATTAATGGGAACACAAGTCTTCCTTGTCTCAGCACAGGAACATTCAACCACTAGCAAGTACAACTGAACTAGTTGGGTATCTTAGAACTTTTCAGAAAACAATCCATTACTGGCAGTGACCAGATTGTGTGTGAGTAAATAAAGTCCTCATTACAGATTCTCTCCAGACCTTCCCCTTTTCACACCTAAACTAAAATAAAGTCTGGACAGAACGTGCTGGTGGGCCCAGTTCTGCACTCTGCACAAATAGGGGGTGATGACTTATCTGCAATGAATGAGACCCCTGTCCCCAGATGTCAAGAGGGGAGAAGAAAAAAATAAAAATAAAGCCAATTGCATCTCTAGCCTTGAGTTTGCGCAGATCAAAATGTGTCAACGCTTTTTTCATGATTATACAATACACAAGTTCATACAAATTGTTCATTAAAAAAAAAACCTGCATCTCACCATACCCCAAATTGGACCTTAAAAAACAGACACAGCCATAATAATTTCAACTTATAGCTAGGAACACATACCCGAGCATTTTGACCAAAGCAGGAATGCCTCCAGATTTAAAGATGGCCAACAAGCCCTCACGATGGTGAGAAAGATTGTGGAGTGTTCCAGCAGCACACCGTGCAGTTTCAACATCATTTGTGTTCTGCATTGTCCGAACAATTGCAGACACCATCTGTGGAGAACGCATAATGGCATGGCGGGAGGCTTCTTTCTTGGAAAGCTGATGGACCATAACTGCGGCCTTGTTGACAACAACCTAAGAAAAATAAAATGCCTCAGTTCTATATATATCACAGTGCCTGCTTTAGGCAACTTTGAGGGGAAAAAAAAAAAGAGCTGCATAAAGCACAACCACCTAATGGCTTCTAGATTAGACAGATATGTAGCGTTTTGGCATATTTTAATGTAGCGTTTTGACATTTTAATATAGCTGTAATGGATTAAACAGTCACAATGGTAATACATACCTGGTCCTCATCGTTGAGTAGTTTGGTTAGCTCAGGGATAGCACGGGTTGCAAGCTCAGCATCATCTTGGTAGTTTATCAAGTTCACCACGGCATGTTTAAGCATCTGCGAAGGCTCAGCCAAGCGCTGCACGTTTGTGGGATGGGCAGAATCAAACTGTGTGGATGGAATTTGCAAGCCTTCATCTAAAGTTTCAGGAAACATGGCAGCCCGAACTCTCTGAGCTCTGGTCATTGCAAACTGCCCATCAATATCTATTGCA